GCTCATTAGATCATTTCTATATATGTGTGTGTGTGTTTGTGTTTGTGTTCTTGTAACCAATATTGCTATCAATTTTAGGCGTTCATATTTTAATCAGATTGAATCAGAATTAGAGGTTCCTGTCTAGTTTCAAAAAAATTAGGAATCTGATCCAATAACCTACTGAATCTCGGACTATTCTTGGTTCTTGAACTAGAACCAAGAGTCTTGATGATAAGTGCGTTTTGTTCTCTTCAGGTTTCTAAACTTGATGATTCATTGCTAATTGAGACGATAATCGATCACCTAATTTAGCCCATAATTGACAACTATTATTTCAAAATTCTTTTTTCTACTTACTTATTTTTAATCATACATTCACACAATAAAATAATCTTTACGCAAATTCAAATTTTTTCCCTACATTTTAAGTACATATTTTTTAAAAAAAATCATTAATCAAAACTCCATTTCACCCAATAAATGGTTGTCCAACAGTGAGTTCGTGCATATTATATTATGTAAAGGAAAAACTTAGAATTGGATGTAATTGGTGCGAAGAAATGCGATTTTGAGCTTGATTAGAGTTGATTCAAAGTAATGGAAGATCAATTGAATTGCACAAAAGTTATATAAAGAATTAACAGATCAATTTGATATGATTCATAAGTTTCGAGAGTTATATTCGACATTCAATTACCCTGCTTTGGCTCGGTTTTTACAAAAATTGCTTGTGATGAGCCCACTTTTTGTTCATTTATTGCTTCTGGGAATTGAAAATGGAATTAGTCCATAACTCAATTCTATAAGAAAGCAACGCGATCCAAATTGCAATGAACATTAGTGACTTTCATTTACGAAAATAACGTGTAGAAAACTCATTACTTAAAAAAAATAAATATAAGGAATTAAATTTAAGGGAAAATTGTAGTCGAGGTATCAAATATTTTATATTTTTGCAGACTTTGCCAAAATCTTTGTTTTGTGTCATCCACGGCACCAAACCTTTAAATAATTCGCACCCGAAGTCCAATTTAACAGAAACTGTTAGTCTGATTGTTAGTTGGCCGAAAAATTGACCTTGGCCTTTATTTTGACCAATTTTACAAGGTTAAAATGGTAAATTTATATTTTCTATAATAAAATAATTAAAACCCAAACCACATATACCCACCCCACCCTAACCTAACCTAAAACTGTAGTCTCCCAGTCTTCTTCCACCCTGTAGATCTTTAAGCGCTGGCCCGTGAAACTCTCAACGGCTTTACGCATCGGAAGTAGGAACCCGTGCCGGTTGATCTCCATTAAGGTTTTGTTGTAAAGGCCGATGAGCACCTCACGGGCGTTGGGCACCACATCGAGACCGACTATCCTCGTCATCTCCTTCACTTTCGCCATCATCATTAGCGGTCGCGCCACCCTCCTCAGAAACATTTTTCCGTCGGAAATCGAATTCCTCGCTCTCGACTTGATTGGTTAACTCACAGACTTTGTGTCGAGAAATTGTTATCAAAATCGAACAGTTTGTCTTCATTTTCCTTTTCTTGATTATTTGCTGGTGGTGCTAACATAGCACAGCTTCCGCCGACACGGCGGCAGTCCAAATTAATCTTTACACTGTGCCGACGTCAACTGCTTCAGCAAGTTGCACTTCTGTGGTTGAGAAATCACAACAAAGACTTAGATGTTGAGGAAATTCGTTTGTTGCTTTTCCTGTTTTTGTTACTTTAGAGATTATATTCAAGAACCAAACTTTGGATTTCTTGTGGATTTAAAATTGTAAACTAGTTAGTATATTAGCTTAAATTTTAGAATTTATATTAGAATAAAAATCACTGTCCTGTTAATTGCATATGTTCAAATAAACAGTAGGATTAATTTAAATCAATAATTGATAATATGATCTCGTGAGAACGATAATTTGGACTTTTTAAATGCACTTTAGTATGATTTTGACGATATTGTACACCAATTATGCCCATGTTTGTCTTTCATTCTTTTAAAATTCTTTTTTTATATATTTATATTAAATAATAAAATATTGTACACGTAAATTCAAAAAAATTTCCCACTTTTTCACATACTTCCTTAAAAAAATTCACTATTTAAAATATTTTTTTAAAAAAAAACTAGCAACCAAACAGAGATTATGTTTAACCGTTCAAACTTTTGTCACCTTAAACACGCAAGGCAAGAATAGAATAAGCATTTGTTTGGTATTGATTAAAATTTAAATTAAAATCAATAATTTGTTGACCTATGATTCAATATAACTTCAATTGTTTTGATTATAACAACCAATACACTTATATCTCTGACAAGTTTTGTTTCTCGAGTTTTTCATGAA